GTTTTAATGTTCATAGCACATATGAGTTCCTTAAATCATTCTTTGATTCAATATATAGAGCCAAAATTTCATGTCACTATGAACTTCTATTTTACTGCTTTTTTTCTTTACTGAAAATGGTTTTCTATTTGGCTATGTTGTTCCATATTATTTCATACAATGAAATTTCATTGGAATTCATTAGGAAAAGTTTTTGGGTCTGAAAACATCAAACATAAGTTTTGCTACATTCATCGAACAGAAGTGAGAGACTTTCTCTTAAGTTTTCCTTATAATGAGTCAGAGATAACTATAGCAGTTACAGAAGTTCCTTCCACTTCATTTACTTTTATAGCAGTCACATAGGTTAATCATGTAGCATGTTGTATTATTTGTTTCTTGTCGAATCCCAATTTGGATTGGCCAATATAACTGTGGTTAAAGGTTTTGTGGACATATCATGGACATAGATTTGATAGTTTTTAGGTCATGGCCTGCAACCCTGTTTTTTCTTTGTGAGATGTCTCACCTTTAAATATTAGGGGCCTTTCTTCACAAACATCATGTTTTTAGTGTGTGCCGAAAGGTTCACTAAATTGATGCATCATGCATTTAAATGGCTCTTGTAGCCTGGTATTGGGCCACCTAAAAGGACGACGACTTTTTGTGGCCTTTATCTGAGCTCTTATTATTTATCACTTTTTTTTATCCTTTTAAATCTTGTTGTCCCTATATGCTCATAAACTTCAAGCATTCTCACAAATAATGTTATCACATTATCTTGGACAAGTTCAAGCACTATGCTCTTTGGAAACATACACACTTTGCATACATTTTGATGCATCCACGAAGCTACAGAGTACTTGCTATTCAACCTCTAAACCCTCTGGCTTTGCTCCAAGTTGTCATTAAATGAAGAGCAGGTGATATCCTGTTGTAATTACAGTGTCAGATGCCATGCAAACAGGATAAGAAAAACTGTATTCTGTCTTTATTTAGTACCATTGTATGAGCAAAATGTTTTGTGTCTTTTGTTTGGATTACAAGACCTTCGTCTTAAAAATTAAACTTTTACCTGCATATATTAGTCCAGTTTTTGGGTTGTAATAATTGATCTCTTATCTAGTTCATATAAGTTGTAAATTATATTGTGGTCTATGACAGAGATTGTTCCTGATGTTGCAGCTCATTCAAGGAGGACAAAGCATATAATTATAGGTAAGAAACACTCCTCTCAACCCTGCCATTGATTTTTGCTAGCTTCCATATCCTTCTACTTGTAGGAGTATGATTAACAGATAAGTCATTTTCTTGATTAGTAAGAATATGATCCTGTACAGCTTAAAGATTGTTTAGAAACACATCATCAACTGCTTAGGGCACCAATAAACTCATACTGATAAACAATGGCAAAGAGCTGATGTCTCATGCTTGAATGGCATCCAAATCTAGTCCTGTCAAAAGGTAGAATGTCATTGAACTGATATAGATCTCTTCCTAGCCCTGTGTGCTTTAATCATAATCCTTCGAAGTTAAAACTATTCAATATTCCTGACTTTCTACTTGAAGAAACAGACAAAAAAGATAAAGGAAAGTGATGCAATGGTCACATATTCAGAATGGAAGCTCATATTCTGTTGAACGAAAAATTACTTGGCTTATACAGAAAAAAGAAGTGTTTTTGTTGGAGTATCACTTGACTTTTAATCGTTGATATCAGAGTGTTGCGACATCTTGACTACATATTAGGCTTCAACAACAGTCGTCAATGCTATTCTACAATTCCTTTTGCTAAATGTTACTCACGTTTCAATTTTCTTGTACAGGTGTTTCTGTCTCAGCTGGTTTCCTTGCTCTAGCATGTGCCGTGGGCTTTCTCATTTACCAGTACAAGAAAAGGAAAATGAACTCCACATCCTCCAAGTTTCTCACTAGAAATGCCTCTTCTTCACATATGAACACCGAAGTGGGTGCCCATTTCCAGACTCACCTCTTCTCCTATGGCGAACTTATGGCAGCTACCGACTGCTTTGACACCTCGAGAGAACTTGGTGATGGAGGTTTTGGCACTGTGTATAAAGGTACAAGAAAAATGTTCTGAATTTGCTAAACATACCAATTTCACCATCTACCTGATATCTCATTGTATCACTGTCCTGCTTGAATACAATTTCAGTTAAGATTGTTTTCTGTTCTTCAGGAAAACTTCGAGATGGTCGAACAGTTGCAGTGAAGCGACTGTATGAGAGAAACTATAAGCGGGTCGAGCAGTTCATGAATGAGGTTGAGATCCTCTCCCTTCTTCGTCACCAGAACCTTGTCAGCCTCTACGGCTGCACCTCCCACCGCAGTCGTGAGCTCCTCCTCGTTTATGAGTTTGTGCCAAATGGCACCGTTGCAGACCATCTCCATGGCAGCCGTGCCAGTGAGCGAATCCTAACATGGCCTATGCGTCTGAACATAGCCATTGAGACAGCTGATGCTCTTGCATACCTCCATGCTGTTGACCCACCTATCATACACCGCGATGTCAAGACCAACAACATTCTACTGGACAGCAGCTTCCATGTAAAAGTTGCCGATTTTGGGCTCTCACGTCTCTTTCCGGTCAATGCTACGCATGTGTCCACTGCTCCACAGGGCACACCGGGGTACGTAGACCCTGAGTACCATCAGTGTTTCCAGCTTACGGATAAGAGCGATGTTTATAGCTTTGGCGTGGTGCTGGTTGAGCTTATATCATCGAAACAAGCCATCGATATCACCAGGCAGCGGAGTGAGATCCATTTGGCCAACATGGCGATTACTAAGATCCAGAACCATGAATTAGAAGACCTGGTGGATCCAGAGCTCTGTTGTCCATCCGATGAGGTGACGAAGATGATGATCACCATGGTGGCAGAATTGGCATTCAGGTGTTTGCAATCGGATGGGGACATGAGGCCACCAATCAAGGAGGTCCTCGAGGGGTTGAGAGCGATCGAGAGTAAGACATACAAGACCGATAAGAGGGAGAAAAATGATGTTTGGACACAGGATGATGCTACTGGGGTACGGAACATTGCAGTGTTCTCTCCTGATTGTGTCACAGGCAAGTGGGTGAGTCAATCTACTACACCAAACACCAGTCAATAAAACAAGTTTTCTGGTTGTTCATATGGCACGGCAATCTTTTCAAACATCCAGAAAAAAGAATATTATTTTTGAAGGTAAGTGATGTACATAGTAAATGGAGTTTCTGCGTACCATTCCCACATAATTTGTGGACCTGTATGCACTCTCAGTGCTTCTCTAACAAATTAGTGGAGATGCTTAAGGTGTGTGCTTCAGCTAAGTGATCATTCATCATCTGAGTTCATATTCTCAGTTGCAACTCTGTAAGCACATTGTGAAGCATAACACCATCAGTTACTTGCGGGCCGAAAGCATGAATGCCAGTTGTTCCCACAAGGAAGAAAACCATCATGAAAGAAAAGAACAGAAACATATTGAAAGCATAGCTTCTGGTATAGCCGTGAGTAATGAGGAAGGAAGACCTGAACTTGTAAGAAGAACATGTTTTGTTAGAATCAGCTGTGGACTGCCTAATCTGAGAAGCCTGAAAGTTCCAGAGTGTCTACATTTTATTCCAAATGGCTGAAGAGTTTGATCTTTTTTTGTTGGAGGCTTTGAAACCCTAGACATGAATCTCTGTCTGACCTCAAATGCATCTCTAGCCAAATTTCACAGTAAGCCTAACATGTGTTGACTTTTTCTGCTAATTCTCATGTATAATTGAGATGATGATACTCTTGTGAATTTAAACCATCACTTTTCAGTTCTATCAAGTTGCCTATGTATATATTTCCCTAACAAAGGCCTCTTGAACAATTTAGGAGCAAGATATTGATCATAGCTTTAATCATATATCGGTTAATATGTCTGATCTCATGAATATGGAGCTTCCTGGAATTATAGAACACACAGCAGACACTGACAGCAAACTCTCACCAAAAAAATTTCCCATACCCCAATCTTTGACCACACTGTTAATTTCTCCATCACTATGGTTAAATGAAACTGCAGTGTTCCCATACAACTCCTCACATCTTCCAAACAATGATGGCCACCTGCACCATGCCTCAGAAGCTCATTCAATGAGCAGTGTCACTCTCTCAATGATGGTGTTAGTCAACCTCTTCTAGCCACCTCCATGAGAGCTTCCTGAAAAGCCATTAAAGAAACATAGCTTGTATCAGTCCTAACAACAAAATCCAATGCCTCTTTTTCTTTCCAACTAGTCTCAGTCTTCAGCAATGGTTTAGACCACCAAGAAGAGGTAGGTGGGAAGATATCTGCTGCTTTTCTAGGTTAAACCTACTCTCTGAACTTTTCATTGTCAACAATGTGGGCATGAGTCTCCAACCTTTGTTTCAAGTGTAGGAGGAGCTGCACAGACCCTTGAAAACTACACCAAACATGGATCAGGGGAACCAGCCAAGCATGAGGGTTCATTTTACCCAAGGCAGAGAAAGAGAGAGAGAGCAGAGCAACATGACAACAAACTAAAGCTCCAATGGCACTCACCACCTTAAAGTGCCTTGAGTAGGGCTAAAGTCACTTCACATGCCAAATCTCTGCATGTAGCTTCTGCAACACAAGAAAAGTGTTCCTAGCGTCAGATCTCATCAGAGAATGACCAAACATTTGCCCCATTGGTGTGTGGGTCATATGAAGCATATATGTCACATGAATCAATTAATTATTCATGAAATAATCTACACTGGTCAAGAATGAAAATTAACCCCAAAAAAAAAAGTACAGACCATGGTGGACCTCATGTCACTCTCATGGACCTATCTATGGCCAAGTCGGCCCTCAAAGCCGTGGACTTTCTTCCGATCCGATCTGATTCGATTCGATCCGTTATCAGTTGGTATCATCTTTATATATATATATATATATATATATATATATATATATATATATATATATATATATATATATATTCTGAAATCTATTATTTTTAATCTGCAGAATTAAGAATTAGGGAGCGAAATTGGAATTAGGAAGAGGAGAGAGAAGAGAAGAGAAGAGAAAGAAGAGAGAGGAATAAGAGTGGTGAGCTGGTTATGTTGGAGTACGAGGTGAGGGTTGCTTTCTCTACATCCCAAGATCCGAATTCCTTTCTTCCTCGAAAGATGCACAGTCCAATCTCATGATTCCAATCCCACCCATTGCGTTCATCGGGTCATTATTGCGCCATGGTAACTGTCTCCCCGGGAACCGAGACGGCCGCTCTCGCTTCCCCTTACACCCCCTTCCAATCCCCTTCTTTTGAAGGTATGTGAAGATGAAGAAGAAGAGTACGTGAAGAAGAAGAAGAAGAAGAAGAAAAGAGGAGACTTGCTGTTTCTAGGACGAGAATGGCGACGCTTCAGAAGTTTAAGCTGCTCGCGACGCAGTGCGCGGCGCCGGCCGCCAGCCCGTCGAGAAGCCCCGGCCCCGCCGCGGCAATCGCCCCCTCCAGCCCCGCTTTCCGGTTGCGCCGCCGGAGGAGCCTCAGGACGCTCCTCGGCCGGGCGTCGTCCCGTCGGGCCGCGGCCGCGGTCCCCGGGAAGCCGCCCCCGGCGCCGGAGCGCCCGTCGGAGAAGCGGGCCTTGTTGAGCCACTCGCTCGCGGATCTGTTCGTCTCCTCGCCCCCGCCGGGTGGAGCGGAAGGAGGGCACGAGTCCGCCGCCGGAGCCGCGCGGAGGTTCGGGTTCGACATCCTCGCCGCCGGGGGTAGAGCCGGCGGGGGACCCAGGTTTGGGTCTCGCGGCTTGAGGTACCGGTTGCTGCGGCGGACCTGGCGGCCGGTGCTCGTCGCCATTCCCGAGTGAGCGAGCGATCCAAAAAACTTGCTCTCGTTGGGGATAATAAGAGAGTTCAAGCTGTAGGTAACTGTTGTAAGTTGCGTTCACTGTGTGTTCATGGGAAGGTGGACACTGCATGAGTTGATCTATAACCAGTATTCATCTTCTACATCCTCTTTATCTTCGCTTCTCTTTCTTTTCATAAATGGAGAATGATTTCAGGCTACAACATCCTAAAGGTCATAAAATTCTGAGTTTTCTGTCAGAACCAATGCCTTCCATCACTAGGAAAACATCAATTGCTTCACCTGCCAACACCAGCTCAGTGCAAGTTGAAATGGTGATGTGTTAGGTCATGAGTTCATCGTGTTCTGCTCTGCTATTGTCAGAACAAGCTTGCTGAAGGAGAAGCTAGCTAAAGACTAGATTGATGCACAAAAGAGTTTCCTACCGAGTCTTCTGCTTGTTCTGTTTTCTGTCATCATCCAGCTTACTGTACTTGCTTGTGTCTCGTGCCAAATGACTGAAGATAAAATGGAGAAGGCAGGGACCAAAGATAAGTGAGTGGCATTCATTGTCCTCCAATGCATGTAGAGGAACTAACAATTGTGAAGAAGGTGTTCGCCTTGCAGTTCAAGTTTATCCGCTTGCTCACCCTGTTCAAGGCCAAGGAGGTGGTGGCTTTCGCTGCAGTTCACATGGCAAAAAGGGACAGTAAAGTGATGCTACTTCCTGATGTCAATAGAGACAGGGAGAATCAAGAGCAGAAGGATCCAATCTACCATTTTGCCCATCGCCACCGGTTGCCTCCAAGAAAAGATGCGTTGGGTGAGCGGCACAAATCAGTAAGCTTGACACCTCGCTTTTTACCTTCTCAGTCACTTGTCCTGCACTGCACTGCACCTTCACAGTGATATATACGCCATGGAGAAGCCTCTTTCTTCTTTTTACATCACCAGCAGTATCTGAGCACTCTTTACAGCCTTGTGAGAGAGTCATACTTTTATTACCTTGCCTCCTCACCAACCTTTCAAATCCATGCACAATATGATGTGAAAAATGAATCAGATAATGAGAAAAAGAGCTCCACAGATAGTAACATGAAATAAAAAGCTGGGAAAGATACTTGTAGATATGTGGACAGAAATGAGCACATGAACATTAGAAAGCAAAGGGACAAGATGAATAGACAGCAGGAAGAGAGAACCAATTGAGTCTTTTTCTTTCATATGGAATCAGCTTTCATAAAGTCTATCAGATACAGCAGTGCTTTGAATATCCATGAAGGAAAACCAACACAGACAGCCAGTCAGCAATTTTTTGTGAACATTGGTGAGTGATGCCATACACTGCAGCTCATTTGAATGCCTTTTTGGCTCCTGTGGGGTTCCAGATCATGATTCTTTCAACTATTTGGATATCAAGTTCCAGACTGAATTTTTTCTGTGACTATACAGTTATCAAAGAAGTTCAAACTCCTGCTTACAGTGTGGATTTTGTGACCATATGCATGTATGTAACTGTGTCTAGCTTCATTTGGATAAATAATTTGGTCAGGTGATGTCTGAGCCCAATTTGTTGTTGTGGGGAGAAGGATGCAGAACAGTGTTTATGGCTATCCAAAATGACATTTCCCCTGAGCTTGGTGAGATAAAAGAGTATCATTTCTTCATGTAGCATTTGTTCCACCAATTCATATTTACTGAAGAAAACATTTGATTCCCATAAAATCTCAAGTTGTGTGCATGTTGTTGTCATTTTAGATGGGCAATGTCCTAATGGAGGTCCACTGTTCAACTATGTCATCCTCCAACAACCTCTTTATTCCTTCTTCCACACTGCTTTTTGTACCCCTGATTTGATTCCCAAGTAGGTGGTGGATTGATCTTTCTTTTTCTTATCCAGTCTATTGGTGAATAGTCTTGTTTTAATGTCTTTTTCATGTTCCACTGTGGCTTGCTCTTTTTATCCTTAAATGTCAATTGCCAGCTATATTTTTCTAGTAGAAGATTTAAACCTGAAATTTTTGTCTTTTGATTGGTTAGACTGAAGGGATCTTCACAAGATTATATTGCAGCTCATTCTACCCTCTCTCATGGAAATATAGAATGTCATAAGCATAGATATACCTTTTTCTCTATTGTGTTTCAGAAAAAAAAAAAGATGAATTTTTTTTTTCTTTTAACTCGATTTTTAGTCATGCATAATAGAGTATCATTTGCCAAAATGAAGAAAATGATTTATAATTGCATTGCATCAAAATTATTTTAGAAATTTTACTATTACAAGTTCATGGTATGATTCTTATTTTGTAAATTGATAATCATGTTTAGCATTAAGCTGTCTACACCAATCCTCCCTAAATCCTCAAGCATTAAACCATTATATATATATATATAATAAAATTTATATCATCTTATACTTATTTATTATTATATTATATTTACTACTTTATAAATTAACTTATATAATGTTAGGTTATGTCGGTCCCAAGCTTTAATGAAAAAGATGGATGATTATATTAGGTCATTAATAACCAACCTAAAATTATATCATATATCATGAACATAGATTTTAATTGATTTCAATATAAAATTAGGTTGTCACCAATTCGTGAGATAAGAATTCTCTCATTATAATGTCAAAAGTAAACAAGAATTCTCTCGTTATTTTGGATAAATGAGAATAAAAAAGTTAATACAACAACAAAGAGTTAAATTAGCAACTTGAAATATATAAACCTTTGAAGGAATTGATCAGAATTGATAAATATTATAATAAAAAAAAGAATACATATTATTTTCTTACAAGATTAAAATACTAGATTTAAAATTTGATATATCAAAAAATTAAACACTAAAATGATATAGAAATTATTATTGATAAGGATTTAATGCTACGGATATAAAAAAATTTAGAGATAAAATTATAATTCTAGAATTTATGAAAAGATAAAATAATTTGAATGTCACTTGTGCCACTCAAGTCGGGTTCGATAATCAAATCAAAATAGAGTTTTGGGAAAACTTAGATGATTCATTCCAGGAATCTCTATAATTTAAAATTTTATAATTAGAGGATATTTAAATCATCATGTAGGAAAAATATATGGTGAATATAAAGAGGTGTACTGGGGCATTGGTTATGGGAAAAAAATAAAGATGATGGTATATTTTTTAATATATAATTTTGTATAATCTTATATTATAAATATTTACTTTAAGAAGAGAGATGAACATTTAATTATTTATAAAAGTGAACATAATTATAATCAAATAGACTTTTATTTTACTAGAAATATCGATAAAACTATTTGTAAGAATTATAAAATTATACCCGGAGAAAAAATCAATATATGTTAATAGTATTAGGTATTTACTGTAAAAAATAAAAGAAGAAAAAAATAATAGAAAAAATTACTAGGACTAAATGACAATTTTAAAGATGATAATGTAAATATTTTTAAGAATACATTAAAAAAAAGAGATGAGTTGGAACTTAGATGAGGAGTAAAGAAAGACTTAAAAATTTTAATAGGGAATACAAATAAAAATTGAAGTACTCTAAATTTTACTAATATATAATTTTTTATAAATCTTAATGATGATAAAGAATTTATAATCAATTCTAAATAATTGGGATTTGGTTGTTGTTATTGTAATAAGTAATACTAATAATATATAATGTTAGGTGGGATGCTAAAATTACAAAATGACACTCTTTAACTTACAAATAGACATAAGAAAAAATCAAATCATAGATTAATAACGTATGCTAGTGATTCAAATTTAAATATCTTTAGTCATTAGAATAAACAATGATGGAAAAAAAATCATAAGCACAACGGAGAAGAATTAAGACATTGCAGTCTTTTATTGTCATATCTTCGACCTTCACGATGATTGCTGTGATAGAATCGATGAGATTAACATATTAATAGGGTTCGTTTATGTTTATGCTGAACATATTTTACCCTACAAAATATAAACGCTTACTGTTAAATAGAGACCTTATAATAAATCATAGAGTATGTTTTGGATATTCTTAATTTTTGTTTACTTAACACAATTTGGAGAGATTAAAATTTGGATGGTATCTTTTTACAGAAAACAGAAATTAAGCTCATAGTAAAAGAATTTATCTAAAGAAAAATAGATATCAGAAAATTCTTTATTTTTATTTGGAATGATAATTAAAAGTGAGAATGGAGGTAAATAGTAATATGTAGAAAGAATATATTATTAATCATGATGAATATTTATTTATTTATTTATTTATGGCCATCACATCAATGCGAATGTCCACGACGGATGGGTAAGAACGTTATGGCGCCCTTTCGAACATCCAACATACCTTTTCTCAACCAGTTTTGGTTAGTTTTAGTGGGACCCATAGTTGGCCCACTTTATGTCCAATGATCAGCAGGTAGCTTTGGGGGGCTCCGGGTGGCGTCGGGCTTCCTCATCGACGGAATAAACCCTTTAAAGAGCGGCGGGGGGGAAGGAATAGGAAAGAGAAAGGGGTGAAGGGGATGGCCGGGAGATCCGACAGCAAGACCGCCCGGGAGATCCTCTGCGACGCCCTCGCCGGCGCCTCCGCAGGCAAGTCGTCCCTGCGATTTCTTGATTCTTGCCGTGGTTCTTGACGTTGTTGTCTCTCACACTACTCTCTCTCTTGCTTTCTTGATCGGCACGCGGCCGTTGGGATGCGGTGGCGGTGGATGCAGGGGCGATCGCGGCGACCTTCGTCTGCCCGCTGGACGTGATCAAGACGCGGCTTCAGGTCCACGGCCTGCCTGAGATGTCCCCCTCCTCTTCTCGCCGTACGCTCGCGTCCCCTACCTTATGGCCCTCGGCTTTGCGCTAGTCTTGACAGTATATGTTTGAGCTTTTCTTTCTAATCATCGAATTTTCCATTTCTATTGTTTTATGTTGCTAAGTGGGGTTTGAAATGTGAACTCATTACAAGCATCAAGAACTACAGAAAGTTAAGAGTTAATCACTTGCTTGCCAATATAGGGAGATGAACTGAGACTGTTCATAAGGTTTGAAGTGTTCAAGAATTGGACTAGTTGCAGAATTCCTTGTTATTTCTTGTTTGCTACTTTGATACTGTTGAAACACACATAAAACGTCCGATGGAAAACTAAAACCGACTTTAGGTTTTGATTA